AGATGGTTACAATTGACTATAATTCCAGCTCCAGGAGATCCAGCTCCTCTGGCCTCCATGAACATCTGCCATCACTTGTATATACCCACACATATAAATACACACATCTGAGAAATTTTCCATACACATAATTTAAAAATATTTTTTTGAAAAGAGAAAGGGAACTCTTCCTATAATCATAATCCCTACTGGTTTGGGCATGGCTATCAAAAGGGAGGTTTTATGAGTGGCCACAGAAGAATCAGTCAAAAATCTGTGGCCACTAATGGAAAAGAAGAAAGAAGAAAAACCAAAAGTACCCTTCCATAAGATTACCTGTACTTCAAAAACAATTGTGTGCAGGGATGTCATGTCTTTGTATCTCCCAGGGATGGCTAAGCATTCTTACATTGTCTAAAACAGACACAAAATAAACTCCCTGGGGGGGGGGGGGAGAAGGGACTGGGAAGCTGAACTCTATATAACTGTGATTTCTTTTCTTAAATGTCTGCCTCACAAATTGACTCTACTTACAATGAATGTATTTGCCCCTTTAAATAATGTGTTTGCCCCTTGTTTCGATCAGTGTATCTTTAGAAGAAATATTGAGAAGAAAGGACTGCTTAACAAAGACAAAGATGTGTAGCTACAACCTTGTAGACAACCAGAGTGGAGTATGCCAATGCTGGCCTCCTTCATTAATGCAAAGATGCCAGGGAAACAAACAAACAATCACTCCACCCCAACAATCTGCTCTTTAAATGCTTTCACCACCAGCTGATTCAAGAAAATACTTTCATAGGAGCCACTTACTCTCCAAATTAAGAAAGAAGCGAGGAATTTTTCCTTTTATTCCCCTTCTTCATGAATTTATGGAGGGTGTTTGTTTAGCGGAGCACTTCGAACTACACAGTGCTTTCCTTGTTGACTAGATTCCAGCAGCAGCAGCAATTAACACTGGTTTCCTAGGCAACCATTTTGTACCCTACTGAGAAAAACCTTCTTGACAGGAGCATTCTGTCTTAAATTGTTTTGTTTTCCTTTTTCACCAAGTGTACGGTAGACTGATTTGTCATTTCTTTTAGCACACCATTATTGTACCCACAAGGCTTCAAAGGAGAAACATTTAGTGGTTTTTATAGCCATATGGTTGGATTTACTGTCAATGCATCGTGGTTCACTTTTAACAAGCTGCAAGAAATCAACAAAAATATGTGTCCAGCCAGACATATGCCGATTTGCTTGAATTTTGTGTTCATAGTCTAACTGGTGAACCATTGCATGTTCAGGGAGTCACAGCTGGTCCTGATCCAAATCCACAGGCTGCATGTTCAACAATTATAGGTTCCCCCAACAATTTTACATCGTCACTCAAGATGCAGCTTAGAATTTTCAGAGCTGTTGAAAAATTGTCAACTCCATCAATTTTATTAATTCACTGGGGTTTAGTAGGTCGATGTCACAGTAACCACAGTATGAAGACATGCTGCACACAGATCCTGGGCCTGGGCCTGCCTTTAAATTCAGTCATGATGAAGACTGAGAACAAAAAGGTCCTAGTGATGGTGGATCTGCTGAGGAAAGCAAGGGGCTGGAGCAGCTATAAATGATGAGCTGCACAGTAGAACAGTGGTACTATGCTAATTTAGCCACCTTTTGTAAGGAACAAAAGTCTGATACAGTGTCTAGTAGCCAGTGCAGAGCTTTGAAGAAAGGAGGTATTCCAAATGTTTTCCTAAGTGGTGATGTATTACCTGTCTCTATGTTCCTTGTACAATATCTTTATGTCATTTATTCTCATACTATCCAATAGACAACAACTTTACAACTTTGTACACAGCTATGAGATAAATCAGATTCAGAAAACTTACCTTTAATATTCTAGTTTGTAGTCAGACCTACTTGAGTTACTTGAGTTATCTTTTTTGAGATACAAATTTTCCTTACAAACTTTACAGCCTGACTTTACAGCCAAGCTATTTTCATTATCTGTAGAAACTCATTGTCTCATTTAATGATAAAAAAGACTCACAGTTTTGACATTCAAACACTAGTCAACTATAGTGGTTTCTCCAATGCTAAGCTATTGATAATCAGCTAAAATCCTAACATTCACAAAAGAGAGAACAGAAATATCACACATGCTTCTTCACTAACATAATTTATACCATAAACTAAAATCCATGTTTCCCCAAAAGTTTTGAAGTTCACAAGACAAATAATTGAAGTTTTCAAAATAACTATGTGCAATAAGCAGTATATGTTCAACTATGGGAGTCAATATTACCATTTAATTGTGTATCATTGGTAATTATAAAATGTATGTATATTACCTTTAATTCTCTCAACAGCCAATTTCTATTCATAAATTTGCATATGTATTTGAAAAAGAAAAAGGGATGGTGGAGAAAAGAAGCAATGAAAAATTTAAATGTCTTTTACTCTCTTACCTATCAGGAGATTTCCTGCTGCTAACTGTCGTAGGGAGTTTTAAAGCCATCAAGCTCTTTGGAGCTCCATCTAGATGGCAGTCCAGAGTTGGGACTTGATGATAAGAGTCCTGAATAGATGGGACCCCAGGATTTATGCAGCCAGGTTTGAGACCAGAAAATTAAAATAAAAAATAAAAAAGAAAGAAAGAAAGACAGTGTTTTCTCCCTTTAATACTTTGTCTTTAAAAATACTTCTGACCGTCATTATAGCCACAGCATAATAATGCCAGCGTGATGCAACTGGTCCCTCAGAATACACTTCCATGGCTGTTAGTGAGATATTGAAGTGGTAAGAGCCATCTGGATGTCTTCCTTTCACTTAAGATCCTTGGTGTGCTGTCTATTACACATTGTGTAATTACCTAGCTGAGATCCCACATCATCCCATGCACCAAGTGCTATCATTTGTGCATATTAGTGAGTAAAACTTAGAAGCACAATGAGTGTACATGAATTTGTTAGGATAAAATAACCAGAGGGTAGAAATTCTTCAGTACAAACTCATATTCCTCTGAACTAATGATCTTAATAGTTCCTTAATAACTAACCCTAAAAGATAGTTACCCCTAAATAGCTAAAAATATGATGAATGGGTCTGTGGATGAGTGGATAGGTAGACAGGTAGACAGATAGATAGATGAATGGAAGCAGTGTGGGGGGAGGAGTAGATGGTCTTACATGATTAAATATACAAAACTAATAAGCATATATATAAGAAAAGAATCATAGTCTTTACCATTTTTATTAGTTTGATTTTATGACTGTCATACTTGGTCATTTGTGTTTCTTTAGTACATTTATTCTTAATTATCCATGAACTTAACCAAACCCTGAGTGAATTTGCTTCTATCCCATGAGGCAGGCAATGGGGATGGAGAATCCACCCAGGAGAGCTCTGATTACATTTCTTCTGGGGAAAAAGCCATCTCTTACTCTTTAGGGAAAACTACCATTGATATCCTGTTGATAAATTCCTTTGGCTCTTTCAAAAAAGATTGTAAATTCACTGGACCAAATGAAACCCCCAGAGCGCCTGTTCATGCTCATGTATCTCCAATTACACTGAAATTTTGAATAAAAAGCATATTATTTTCTATTTGAAAGATGATATTATTCCATACAACTAGAAGACATTAGTTAAACCAATATGGAATCGACTTCCTCATATGCTATCAGATTATTCTTAAAATAGAATTTTTTTAATCAAAAATTGGTGCTGAGAGTTGAACCCAAGGTCTTATGCATGTGAGGCAAACACTGTATCACTGAACTACATCTCCAACTCCTGATAAAATCTTTAAAAAAAATAAAAGTTTACGAAGCCTCCCAAGATCCTGTTAAAATTATTTTTTGACAGTTATATTTAAACATGCACAAAACCATCACCTTATTCAGCTGGAAACCAAAGGTACATTTATAAATTAGTTTTCTCTCAAAGATAAAAAGATTCAAATTTCTTATGATTTCCCTTCCAAAATAAACAGAAACTAAATTGCTGCTCACCGATGAAACCCAATAACGTGTATACAATGCATTTCGTGTAGGGTAAATGTGACTATGAACCAGGGGCATACTTTCAATTCTCTTCTTACTTGTGTCTACTTAGACTGTTTTAAAACCTCTTTGTAAAATGCCCACAATGTTATTTTGACTATTTTGTGTGACTCATTCTGTATGTATCAAGTTGATCCCAACATGTGGTCCTATATGAAATACTAAAATATTGTAGCAATGCTCAGTTATAATTTTGTTACATAAACTAATGATAGTTGTGTGTGCTTTTATTATTATTTTCCCAATTAAAAAATTTTAATCCACATAAAAAAGTTGTAGATTATAAAAAGTTAATTAATACTCAAGTACGTAGGACTCCAGTTCGCACGGTACTCTTCTAAAACATCAAATTCTCACGAAGTGTACAAAGTAATTTTGCATTTTTAAAGTTGGCAAGGATAATATGCAGTATGGATTATTTCTAATTTGTGTAAATGACACTAAACCATATATGTTCATTTTCTATCCTTTCAACAACAACAAAAAAAAAGCAAAAAGAAAAAAATCTAATTGTAGTAAGTATTTAGTCTAGAAAAGAGCTTGAAGAGAAAGGGGTAAAGACTTGTATGCTTGTCAAAAGAAATCACCCAGGACTGTATATGTTTACCAAGTAGACAATATCTCTCAGCAGAATTCCCTGTGGAGTATGCTAAATGCTACAGGAGGATACTAAATGTTATATCAGTGCTAATAAGAAGATTCAAGAGTGATCTAGAAGACAAGATTCATGCTGTCTCGATGTCTACTGTGCCTGCACTCTCTCTCTTTACTCTCAATTTTCCATAAAACACTGGAATACTGAAAGGAGCATTCTCAACTAATAAGTTTTAAATGTTAGACTTGCATTGAACAATTAATGTATCTGAGAATTGCCAAATCCTGAAATTATTCTTCTTAAATGCATTCATCAATTTGAGAAGCTCCCTGGTTGGACTTCCAGTCATTATATGTTCTTTTGTTACTGTTTATCTGCAGAGGAGGTGTCTGCAAGGATAGTCCAAGTAGTCACGGCTGAAGCTGTCGCAGTCCTGAAAGGGGAACAAGAGAAGGAAGCCCAACATAAAGACCAGCCTGCAGCTCTGCCTTTAGGTAAATGAAAGAGAGACTAGGTCAGGGCAAGCATTTGCTGCCCCCGTAACAGTGTAAAGTCTATATGCTCAGCAGATATTTTCTACTTTGTACATACTTCATGTATGGAATTCACCTATCACCTCTACTAGAAGCAGGAAGACCTGTGTTTGACCCCCTCAGTGAGTTCACTGGGATGTTTTGATAGATTTTAGGGTAATAATCTTGTTGTTAGATATGGTAACCCTTTTGTTTATTAAGTCAGGGTTTTATGAGTCCATGCACATGAAGAAAGTAAACTGAAACTTCAGTTAGCAGTGACTGTCTCTGCTTATGGGTTTAACTACACAGAACCAATAGCTAGCGCTTTGTTAGATTCATCAGTGACTTGAATCACATAGGAAAGACTGACCTTGTGATTTGACAATTGATCACATAGCTCATCTAAGGTCACCTTGCCCTTTCCCATAGCCACAAATGTCCTTCAATGCCACGGAGGCATGCAATACAGAATCACTGAGGAGGGCACTCAGCCAAAGGCTTGCTGACCTACACAGAGAGATAGATTGATCTAGCACTTAAATATAGATACACAAATACATAGATACATAAATGATATATAGGTAATAGATATAAAGATAAATTGCAGATACATAGATGATTGACAAATACATAGCTAAATGATGCATAGATAGAGAATAGACATATATATATATATATTTACGTATGTATATATATGTAATATATACATATATTTACGTATGTATATATATATAGCTAATATATATACATATTATAGCCAGATAGAGAATGGATACATCACAGATAGGTACACAAGTAGATAGACATATATGTATAGATGGAAGAAGACTTTCTAGGATTCAGTGTATTTATTTCATACATACATATGCCCAATCTTCCAAAATGCATAGCTTCTAAATTCTAAAAACATTTTCATATTTTATAGTTCAGTTGATCCTTAATATTTGTTTTCCTGATTAAGAGTCCTTGAAGTGTATACTAAAAATAAAGAATAAGAATATTTTCCTTTCTCAGATTAGGAGTTTAGAATATAGTAAATGTGTATCATTCTGAATGTTTTGATTGTCAAGGATGAAATTTTTCATGAACATAAATGGGAAATATACCTAATTTTAAAGCATTAAATTTTAAATTGTCTTTTACTCCAATTATTTATTTATTTGAAATAAAATTCAGGTTTTAAAAAAACTTGAAATCTTAAAAATATAGGCACAAATCGCCAAGAGTTGGGGAACTACATACCTGTCATCACAAAGCCAACTCTAAGGTGTCACTGTGTTATGAAACTTCAGTTCACATATCTATGCAATAGATTCGGCCACTGGCAGTAATTGAAAACTATTTCCTTTGAAGCTCCTTCCCTGCATAGGAAGGTCATAAGGAAGGTAGGTGCCCAGAAGGACATCAGAGATGGTTCAGAGCCTTTCCCAACATCTGTATTCACTGTGACATCAAAGCCAGAAAGTGGCCCAGCTCCAACTAGGTGGATAGGGATGGTCTGATGCTTACCATAGGCTCTGCCACTTTTCCTTTTCCTTTCTGAAAGTGAAAGGTAAAGGAGCTTTAACTTTAAAGTGGATGTGAAGTGTCACTTAAAAATGTTTATCAAGCATTGTGAGTATGAGTGATCAAGTTCTGTTTCTAGACCTACCAGAACATCCAAATTTTTGTTATTTTTTAAATAGACAATTCTAATCCCAACCAAAATGCTTGTCTGGGTGTCTTTGCATATAGTATTTTGGGGCAAATTAAATACATTATTAACTTTACAAATTCAACTTGGATTTTTTAATTTATTTACAAGTACAACAGAATTCTTTCATTTGTTTCTAACTCATTTTATGGAGAAAAATATTTTTAAAAACAGGAAATATAAATCTTCTAAGTTGTCAACAGGTAAATCAGATAAAAGGTAAGAGTTCATAGGAGTCTGTTTGCAGATTGGAGGAGCACTGGCCTGGGAGACTTAATTGTGCTGTCTCGTTTCTCTGTTTTTGACCTGTAGCAGCTGAAGAAGCAGCTCATCTGCCACCTTCCCCACCACCGTCTCCAGCCTCGGAACAAACAGTGCCAGTGGAGGAAGGTAAGTTCTTGACCTTCTAGGGTTGGGACTACCCAAAAGGGTAAACAATAAACTCCAGTCCAAAGCCAGGGGCACCAGTGCCAGGTAATGTAGGTCAGGGCTAGGATTATTTCAGATCATCAGGAAGAAAACATACTAATTCACTAAGCCCATGAATGAAAATAGAGTCAGTGATCTATATAAAATCAGCTTAAGAATATGGTCAGTGTTACATAAACAGAAAAATAGACTATGCAAAAAACAATTCTGTGTTCACGTTCCTGGGATAACTATAAGCAGCTAACTTAATGTGGAGATGTTGGACAGAAATGATACAGTCCTCTTATGACAGAAAAGAAATAACAAATATAATCCCCATGACAGCAGGGGTTAGTACCTTCTTATGGAAGTGGCAGAAATTATGCGTTTTACTCACGGTTATATTGCTGAGAATTTCCCCAGGGCCTGCCTCATAGCAGAATCTCAACAAATATTAATGAGTAAGCCAGGAAGCTAATGAATGAACAGATACTGAGAGCAGTGAACTGGAAGACCATGGTTGCTTCCCCGCTGAGGCCGAAGACTATCCATGAATACATTTACGCACTTGCTCCACACCACACCAAATCAGCATTTCCGTTCTCATTGACAAAACTGAGGGCCGCTTTGAAGCTCATTCATTCAGAATGGGAGATGAGAGGCACTAGATTACACTGCTACAGAGGAGATTTAGTCCAGAGACTCAGCATATGCTTACAAGCTGGCTGGTCTGAGTAAGAGGAACAACAGGGGTGGGTTTTCAGTTTTCATGCACTAAGGCCATTTTATTCATTTTCTCATTCATTTACTTTTCTTTCTGTTGTCACTTCAGAGATCATTTGCTATGCAAAAGGTAAATAATATCACCATTAAATATTTATTGTGTTATAATTCATAATGTGACTCATTTCAGTATTTCCTAAATACAGAAAGATAAATTATTCACCTGCATACTGTTAGCTTTGAGGCAAGGATTTTAGTCCCAGATTTATAAGCAACACCATTTCTTTGTAGCAAGCCTTTTCTTAATTAAACTACCCCCCCAATCTGATAACTGAAATAACATAAAACAAGCAAATCATTCTATGAAAAAAATTAGCAACTCTAATTAGGCTTTAACCGAATTGGCTATTAGTTAATCTCCTTTAATGTGGTTTATAATATCATTCATACATCTGAAAGGTTCTTTTTGGCCTTATACTTTTCCAGTCAACTGGCCCATATTTCCTGAGCACTTACCATGTTCTAAAAACTTTTCAAATTCTGAGCAAATGACTGAGAACAAAACAGACATAATACCTGCTTTCACAGGGCAAACTGCATAGTGAACAAGAATGCAATAATTACACTGATAATTTAAATGGATTACCTCTAGGAAGGGTAAGGAGAGCAGCCTCTGACAGAACAGCAATGGGATCCTTCTTTTGTTGTATTGCTAGTTTCAAAATAAGAGGAAATACTGGTAGATCACAGATGGAAAAATGTGGGGCAGAGGAAACAGGATACACAAACGCATACAGATAGATGAAATGATGCTGTGTTCTAAGACAAGGAACCATGGCTGACAGGTAGTGAGAAAGTGGGGAAGGATAAAGGAAATAGAGTGTAGTTACTAGCCCCGGGCAAGGGCCTAGATTTCATTCATTTCCTACTAAATGCACAGGAAGCTCTGTGGACAGTTGTACTTCTCTGAGGTTGGTGGAAATGTTTCTGAACTCCCACTTAAAACCGTTAGAGTGCCCAAGAATCCTCTTAACCCAGAAAGGACTGGTGTTGACAGAGCTGCCTACTCCAAAAGTCCATTTATTGGCTCCTCTTATTCCGTGGGAATTGTAGCAGAAAAGGCAGTAGATTCCTCCCATCTATCTGGGGATCCACCTGGATTCTTCCTTACAGAAAAGATAAATGTGCACATTTGATAAACCTTATATTATTCATTTAAATGGCACATGATAATCTCAACTTTAATGTGTGAAAGATGTGATCAAGGCAAAGTTCCATTGATCCTTTATCTCAAACCCCAATAAAATCAATGTTCAAAAAATAACAGATTTTAAAGAAATAACTAAAATTAAAAAAAAAAAAAAAAAGGCCAGTGACAATTTACAAGAAAACAGGAACTGTTGAGTTTCTTAATCAAGTTTTCAGTGAGTTACTAAAGACCCAAGCTGGTGTACTACTAACAAACATCAGGTCTGCTAGGAGAGGGGATAGGTGGGCTTCATTCTTTGTCTAAGAGATTCTTTTTGCCTCTAGGACACAAACTCTCCCAGCAGCTTTGAGGGCACAGAAACAGCCACAATATGACCCTTTTATACAAATGGAAGGGCGTGCTTGGATTAAAGTTGAGTAAATGGGTGGTTCTAAGAATGTCCGTCTTAACAGACATTTAAAAAAAAAAATGTTCTTTCCCAAAGGGAAAGCTTCCACTGAAAATAATTTGACATTCATCACCTTAAAACCATCCATTTACTGCAACTCATGGAATATTAGTATATCCCAAAACGTGTCTTTATTTGGGGAAATATTTAGAAGAGGTTTTATTGAAAAAAATTAACAAAAATTAACAAGCAGCTCACCTAGGAGGAAAATCTCTGTACTTTTATAAAAGGTTCTACTAGTTATAACATTTTCTCACCACCTTTCCTTTCCTTCGTCTAGCCATACCAGTTGTCATTTAGACTGGGCTATTAGAAATGGAAGTCTGTGCAAGTATAATAGAATAACCTCAACCAGAGGTCTTTCTGCCTCCTTATTAGTGTAATCCAGAATTCTTGAGTGTTTTCTTTTCCCAGTGTCATAAGATGGCATAATAGTTATTGTTACCTCAAAGTAGATCCTCCCATATCATTTGAGGGTGGAGGTAACTACAGAGACACTGAGGAATCTTTAGTCAAAAGCTTGTGAAGAGGTGAAAGATGATAGATGATGGAGAAAACTATTAATTGGAGTCAGCTGCCTTCTGCTTCATGTCACGAGGCAAAAACAATAATTAGTCCTTAATATTCCCTGAGAGCTAGATTATAAAAAATACGACAGCAAATTTATCCCAAAAAGGTCTGACCAACTGAGGCTGAGTTTGAAATAACAACTCTTCCTTTTGCCCAATATAAAATTTTTAAATGTGTTAATAAAAAGTTTAAATAAAAGCAAACTAGAAAGAATATTCCTGTCAAAACCAGTTGGATTTCATTTCTAAAGTCTGTAGTTATGCACAGAGCTATTTAAAAAGGCCAAGGTTCACAAGGTGATCATATCCTTTTACATGTCACTTGTTAGAAGAGTAAATTGTTTTGTGACAAAAACAGTTCCCAGAGCATGTTTACTTAAAACAAGGGGTGAATGCATTCAACTGTTACCTTAAGTCATGAAAGTAGCTTATAAAATAAATTCACATTTTCCTTAAGTTTCTCAAACCCAAATTCAAATGTCAAATTAAGGTAAGGAAGAAAACTTGAAATGGAACATATGGAAGACACCATACAGACATATATGTAGTCGTGTGCAGGGTCAGTACAATGGTTCATCTGGTAAAGGGCACTTGCCCTCTGGCCAGACTACCTGAGTTTGATTTCAAGGACCCACATTGTGGAAAGAGAGAACTACATTGTCCACTGACCATCACATGTATACCATAGTGTGCATTGTACCTTTAGGCATTTGTGTGTGCACATATGTGCACGGGAGTATACACAATTAAATAGGATATTTTGTATAGTTACACATTACAGTTTTACAAATAACTTGTCATTTATTTCATCCAGTAGCCCACACAGATAGAAATTCACATATTTTGTCAGGAATATCATTGTTTACATCTGGATAAATGACTCGGCTAGAATTTATATCTAAATCTGAGTCTTCCAACTCAGAATTCCCTAAAGCTGTGTACTAAGGGTTGTTACTATAGGTCTATGAAAGTCCATTGCTTTCAGACAGGAGTTCCGTTACAAGCTACTATTCTTATGTGGGTTAATATAAAACTTCTCCCGAATACATACTCCATTCCTTATTTATTTGTTTGTTTATTTTTAATTACCCACCCCTAATGCATGGGAGCCAAAAGCATCTGTCATGTATATTTCATCTCTGCAACTAATGAGACTCAATAGTCTACTGTCTTGCCCCTTGGAGACTCCTACACTGTTTAGACTTATTCAACCCCTAGCATGAAACTTTCTGGCATATCTCTGAAGGTTGCATCATAGATGGTCTTTGCTCACAAGCTCTGAACCTTGAAATTCTTAGAGCACACAGTCCCAGGAGATGTTTGGACTTGGCCAGCTATCCCTTTTGAGTGAAAACACAAAGACTAAGGAGAAATGGCCTTCTCACTTGGGCCATTAATGATTCTGCCATTCTAAGATTAGAACAAAAGTTTTCATATTAGAAAAATGTCACTTCTTATGAGATGTTATAGACCTCTGAGCTGTTTTTATGTCTTAGCCCTTAAAACAATGATGATAACAGGAGGCCAAATGCTCTATAAGGCTGAAACATCACCAAGTATCTAACACCTCTTCTCCACAGCTCTCAGCTCTCAATGTCCCCTTTGTATTGTAATCTTCTCTGCTTCCCAGAAAACAAAAGTTGAAAAGCAGAGAAATATATATCTCATTTTTACTTACTTGACAGTGCATGAAATCAGCTGAGCAAGTCAAACATTTTATAAACAATTTTGCTTGCATGACAAATCTGAGTCACTGGGGAGCATGTGACTGACAAGGACAAATCATAAGCTCAGATCTACAGTCTAGTCTCTGCTGCCTAACAGACCCTGACGTTATCTGCTCAGCTACTATCAACACCTAGCATGCTAATAACTAATATGATAAGGGCTAAAAAATGCATTCTCTCTGTAGCGTGTTATTCTTAATATGCTCAGGCTTTCTAATTTCTTTCCAGTTACCAGTACTTGGTTAATGGAAAAAGGTTAGAGTTCTTACATTACATTTGCAAAATAAGGTCGGAAGACTGGTTGC